TCATACTCCATGGGAGGGACCCTCATGTTTTTTTCAAACTATAGTCCGGCCCCCCAACATTCTGAGGGACCGTGAACTGGCCCCCTGTTTAAAAAGTTTGAGGACCGCTGTTTTAGATGAAGATAAACTGCTGATTCTGGTCCTGTGTTGTTATTCCTCCTGTGCTGGGCCATCCTCTTGTGTAAAGGCTGTTTGGTTTCCCCATTGTAGAGCTCTGAGCATTCCTCACTGCACTGAATTGCATATACTACATTGCTCTTATGTTTTGGTGTTCGATCTTTAGTGTGTACAAGCCTCTGTCTCAGTGTGTTGGTGGGTTTGAAAAACACAGGTATGGGATGTTTTCCAAAAATCCGTTTTATCTTCTCTGACACCCCAGCCATTTAAGGAATGACAAGATTCTTCCTTTGACTCTGGTTCTCAGCTCTGTCTGCTGTTTTTGGGATCTAGAAGTAGATTTAATAATGGCCCAAGTTGGATACCCACAGGCCTTAAGGGCTGTCCTCATGTGTCTGTTTTCTTTCTTTTTTGCATCTATGATGGTAGGGATGGTTACTGCCCTGTGGTGTAATGTCCTGAGGACTCCTAGTTTGTGTTGCAGTGGATGGTGGGAGTCAAACACATTGGTCTGTGTGTGGGGGTTTCCTGTAAATCCCTGTTTCTAACTTACCAAAGGTCCCAACTGAAACCTCACAGTCTAGAAATGCCAGCCTGTTGTCCTTGGTGTCCTCCCTGGTGAACTTAATGTTTGAGTCTATGGTGTTTATATGGTCTGTGAAAGCCTGTACCTCCTGGACTCTGATTTTAACCTAGGTGTCATCCACATACCTGAACCAGTGGGTTGGTGTTATTCCCTGGAATGAGCTGAGAGCTTTCTTTCCCACTTCTTCCACATATAGGTTGGCAACAATGGGTGATACGGGGGAACCCATGGTACAGCCGTGTTTCTGCCTGTAGAAATCACCTCTGTAAGTGAAGTAAGTGGTGTTGAGACACAGGTCCAGGAGGCAGCAGATCTGATCCGGGCTGAGATTGCTTTTCCTATCGAGGGTGCTATCATCTTCTAGTCTCTTCCTAACCGCTCTTAGGGCATTGGTGGTGGGGATGCTGGTAAAGAGTGAGGTGACATCAAAGGATACCATGGTTTCATCTATATTCAGTTTTAGGACTCTTATTTTGGAAG